AATTGTGTTTTATCTTGTGTATTCTTCTTATTTATTGTTGTTGTCATTCTGTAAAGCGCTTTGAGAAGCCACCTTTAAAGATGCTTTATAAAAAGTTTATTATTATTAATTGAGTGATTAATTCAGTGATCAGGTACATTTAGGGGGCAGTTTGGATAAAGGGGACATTCATTCTGTAAGGAGATTGATACTTACTGGGTATCCCTGCATGCCTCCCTGTGAAAAGCAACACACAGAAGAGTATTACACGCTGGCATCACAGGAGTGTTACACAACAGCAGGATACAGGAATACTAAACACTGACGCACAAGATAACACAGAGCCAGAGAGGAATGCTACACACTAATGAACAAGGAGTGTGGTACAGTTTGGCAATACTACACAATGATGCTGGCAATGAGAACACAAAGTCTTCACGCACATTGATGCACAAAACACACAGCAGCACCAGTATTACCTGGGGTAGTAAAACATATTATATAATTATATATGTAATAAGTTGTTCTTTGTACCAAAGCACTTGTGTTTTAAGTTTGAGATGCATTTAATTAATGATAAATTTCATGGTTATTTATTAAACCCTGCTCTCCCTGGAATTAGTTTAATTACAACATGTTTTGTAATATAACTATATACAACCTCTATTTTTTTCACAATGAACTAACGTATATTAATACTTGACATTTTTAAAGTGGTTCGTACTTTATATCAGGTTAGGGACTTTGAAAAAGCAAATCTTCAATGAAGAAAGCTAAGTGTGCATTTGTTATTTCATCATAAAAACACATTTTCTAGCTTCGTATTTCATTTTCTATATTCTGTGTTCTGAAAATATTTTCTCAGTTTTTTTTTGGTCTAGCAATAAAGATATTGATTTTGAAAAGTGTCGGTTGTTTGGAAGTAATCCTCATAAATCAGTTCTTTTAAATATTTGTGATCTTTTACAGAAAAACAGTTCTAATATTGGACTTTGTAGTGCTTTTCAAACCATTAGTGTTACATATTTTCATAGAATGCCACAGTTTCAGAATAGAACTTAATTTCCAGCTGTACTCTCCTCTATTACTGTGATGGATTTGTAAAAAACAAAATCTGGAAAAAGTAATTACTTTTAACATTCTTCCCTTTGCTTATATTTAGAGAAAATGGTACTGATCTCAAATGACTTACGTTTCATTAACTTTGATTTCATTGGAAAATCCTGACTGGAATTTTGTACTGACCAGTGTGTCTGTGCCCTGCCCAATGTCTTATTTCCAGATACAGACAGTTTCCTGTAGTAGCACCCAGCAACAAGATGGTGCATACCAGAAGACCATACCTGTGCAATTTCTTGGGAACTCTCTATAAGAACTCCTCAAGAGAAACGTTAATGATGATACTGAAACAAGACCACCTAGACAAAGAGTGCATCACTGCTGCAAGAGAAAAGTACGTTGATCAGCATTTCATGCCGTTTCTCAGCTTAAAAGGTTGTAGATATTCAGACATTCGCTTACATGTGTGGGTCTCTATATGCTTTCATGCTTTTTTAGCTTGTTTCATATTTATGCAGCTCTGATACAAATACAAAAGGTACTTTTAAAGACACCTGACATTCTTTAGCAGCTAGTAGTCTGCTAAATAATGGGAAAATGCCTCATTTTTTTACAATTGGTACCACAAATGTCTGTGGACTGAAAAATGACAAACCATCATTGTTACATAATAGTGTAAGTTACACATGAAGCCTTTGTTTATGAAAATGCAGAGCCATTCTGTGCTGAAAGAATGCTCCAGAGAAGAATGTATGGAGTGAGCTTCTCTGTGGCCTTGGTTAGCCTTAGATGGAAATAAACTGTAGAGAAAGAAGATGCACTGATGATTCAAACCAGAAACACTATATATACAATGATGCATTTGTGTTTATCAAATGTATATGGTGTAGCTGTATTATAAGAGGTTAGAATAGCATTGAAGGAAGCCTTAGGTCCCAGTGTGCTTTTATCTTTGTTTTGTAGGATTTAAAAAGGCTTGTGTGCTTTTCTGTTTTGTTCTTGTTACCTCAAAGAACTTAAGAACTTCCTTAGGTTATTGGTTAATTTGGAACCGATGGAGAAATACAGACAAATATATATGGAGCCAGTAAATTGCACTCTTGCTAGTAAAACCTTGTTGCTGGTTTTGTGTGGGATGGCATGGTGGTGCAGTGGTTAGCATCACTGCCTCGCAGCACTAAGGCCTTAGGTTCAATTCCAGACCTGGAGTGCTATCTGTGTGGAGTCTGTATGTTCTCTGTACTGTCTCTATACTGACAGAACTACACTGTTTGGGGTTTCCAATCTGTACTTTCTTTCCAAAAGGTAACCTGGAGAAAAAGAGGCAGTTATAAGTGAAGGGCTGTCTTTTACTGCTGTTTAATGTTTGGACAGTAGTAACAAGAAGAGGGTGTTCCCTTGTACATTACCGGGGCCAGATAACTTACTAGTATGTTTTTGAACTGTGGGAGGAAACCCACATGAACATAATGAGAACATACAAAGTCCACACAGACAGCACCCCAGGAATTGAACCCAGGGGCACTAACCATTGCACCACCATGCTGCCCATATTCCTTTTTCTCTTTTTTTAAATTGATTTAAGTTAAGAGGTGTAAAGGTGTCTGGAGTTTTTAATGAGAACTGGTAAAGTTAAGTATCCTTCATGTAACCCATGCCAGCAGAGGGGGGGAAATTGTGCTTTTTTTTCAGTTCAGGAGTTGTACAGTAGAGTGTTAGAAGACACGGTAGAAGCCTGAATGAAGGAACTCTCTTTTCTTTCCAGATGGCTGCCACAGGAGACGAGGGACAGCTCGGGAAAGTATCAAAGTGCCCTCCTGCAGAGCGACCTGACCCTGTGCCCTGTGGGCGTCAACACCGAGAGCTACAGGATCTACGAGGCTTGCTCGTATGGCTCCGTCCCCGTAGTGGAAGACATCATGACTCCTGGCAGCTGTGGCAAGTCACTGGCCTCCCACACTGCTCCGCTCCGGCTTCTGAAGGCCATGGGAGCGCCGTTCATCTTCCTGAGAGACTGGCGAGAGCTGCCCGCCGTTCTGGAAAGGGAAAGGAAAATGACCCTGCCGGAAAAGGCCGAGAGGAGGCAGGGGCTTCTCGAGTGGTACAGCAATTTCCGACAGCAGCTGAGAGAGAGGTTTACAGCTGCCGTTGAAGAGGCTTTCTTTCATGACGGTTAGGATCAACTTCAGACCCGGCTGACACACGCGTGGACTGTGTGCACAGGGTGCGGCTAAGGTGTAGAGTTGAAAGTGAACGTGTTAACTGTGATAAGGTCCGCCAACCACTTGTGGTGCTCGAAACTTGTGCTGTTCAGAATAATTTCGTGGCATGTGAAGTTCTGTGTTTCAAATAGACCTTTATGGTGCAGAACTGGCCAAACAACACTGGGTTTCCAAGGTCCCCCTTGATTTACAGCACAACAGTAGCCTCGTGTACCTGAGCTTACAGTTTTGTCATTAAGAGCTGTGTCATTCCTCCAGTCCTCCAGACTGTACTCAGAACAAGGCGAGAGGCAGCTGTACCTGACAGTGTGTGCCTTTAGGAAGCATACACAATCTGTACCTCCCTTCAGACTCCCACTAGACTCCTGTGAGAACTCAGGTGTTTCAGTTTGCCTTTGAAACAGTAAGGAACAGGGCTATAGTAATCAGCAATGACTTTCTTTCATTGCCATGGCATCGAGAGAGAGAGGAGAGCTGTTCCTAAATGCCTTAGCCCATATGCTCCCAGATATTGAACACCTGGAAAGAATCTATTCTTTCAAGATCATTTTCACTGTCTCGTAGAATTAAGCAGTGTTCCTTTCATTTACACTTGAAGTTTGGTCTTTAAGTTCATTTGTTGTTCTCTGTTCCAAGAATGTATAACTTATTTTAAGAGTGGAGATTTTAACAAAAATGAAATTTTCTTTGATCTAGTATGGTTGTTTACTTATAAGCTATGTCAATTAAGGAGTGTTAGCTGTTGCTTATTTAAATGCTGATATGAGGGTTGTACCACTTAATCCGAATAAATCTGGAAGTATGTTTTTTTTGCTGGCGTTACTGGTTTTCTAGACGTTTTTGAAATGATCCAGTTGTAAAGCAAGAGCTCCTTTGCCACTCTAATTCCGAAAATGAAGTGTACATATTGTTGTCTCCTGTCAAACTTACGTCTAGGCCAATTTAATGCAACAACATAAGAAAAACCCAGCTTGATATCCTACTGAAATTAATCAGGTGAAGTATCTTGTTCAAGGGTAAAACAGCAGTGATTTGAACCCACATACTTCCAGTTAGTAGTAATAATAATTAATTATACTTATATAGCGCTTTTCTGGACACTCCACTCACTCAAAGCACTTTACAGGTAATGGGGATTCCCTTCCAACACCACCAATATGTAGCCCCCGCCTGGGTGATGCAACATCAGCTATAGTGCGCCAGTACACTCCCCACACACCAGCTATCAGTGGGGAGGGGAAAAGAGTGATGAAACCAATTCAGAGATGGGGATTATTAAGAGGCCATGATTGGTTAAGTCTGATGGGAATTTGGCCAGGACAGTGGGACAACACCCCCACTCTTTTTGAGAAACACCATGCAATTTTTAATGAGAGTCAGGACCTCGATTTTATGTCTCATTTGAAGGAAAGCACCTTTTTTACAGTATATTGGCCCGTTACTATACTGGGACATTAGGACCCACACACATCACATGGTGTGCACCCCCTACTGGACCCTCTTCCAGCAGCAACCTTAATTTTTCCCAGGAGGTCTCTCATCCAGGTACTGGCCAGGCTCACACCTGCTGAGCTTCACTGGGTTGCCAGTCATGAGTTGCAGGGTGATATGGCTGCTGAAATTCAAGTCTACAACTCTAACCACTGCTGCACACTGCCGGCCTATTCAGTTATAGTTTTATCAATGTGAAAAGGAATAATCAGATTTCATTCCGATGGAGAAGAATGCACTATTATTCACTCTATTTCTTTTATAGCAGTTGCTTTGCTTGCACATTCGCTCAGATCTCATGTCTGAGCAGATGATCATGCTGCCATATAAACTGTATTATTTTCTACTCTTGTTCAGTTTCACTGTAGAGAAATCATGTTGCCTAATGGCATGTAAACATACTGTTTCATGTCTGAGCTCTGGTTTGTATTCTAGAACCTGTTCTTGTTTTGTGGATCTTCAG